AGAGAGAGAGAGAGAGAGAGAGAGAGAGAGAGAGAGAGAGATTATTTTTATCTTTCAAATATACAAGGCCACAGTCAACTGTTACTCACTGAAAACCTACTACTTGCTCAACACCGCTTCTTGCATCTGCCTCTGGAGATAGCAGAAAGCAAGATGGTGCCCTTCAAACTCGTAGCCTTAGACACTCACCAAGTAGTGACAGGAAGAAAACGGAGCTGTAACTTGTGTGGCAGGTGACAAACCATGATCCAGGGCCACGTTTTCCAACATGCTCATTAAGACTAGGTAATAGGAGCTGGAGAGACAGACGGCTCAGTGGTTAGAAATTGGCTGCTCTTGCAGAGGACCTGAGTTCAGTTCCCAACACTTACATGGTGGCTTAAAATCACCTGTGACTCCAGTCCAAGGGAATCTAACACTTTTTTCTGCCTCTTTTGGCACCAGGTACACACAAGGTACATGCACATACATGTAGGTAAAACATATATGCACATAAAGTAAACATTTTTAAATTGTGTATTTATGTATGTACTTTATACATGAATGTTCTATCTGCATGCATGCCTGCATGCCAGAAGAGGGCATCACACCCTGTTAGAGATGGTTGTGATCTGCCATGTGGGTACCAGTTCAAAACTTACTACAGATGGCACATGATGGTGGTGATGATGATGGTGATGATGGTAATGATGATGGTGATGATGATGGTGATGATGATGGTGATGATGATGGTGATGATGGTGATGATGATGGTGGTGATGATGGTGATGGTGGTGATGGTGGTGATGATGATGGTGATGGTGATGGTGGTGATGATGGTGATGATGACGGTGATGACGGTGATGATGGTGATGATGATGATGATGGTGATGATGATGATGATGATGACGGTGATGACGGTGATGATGGGGATGGTGGTGATGGTGGTGATGGTGATGATGATGGTGATGGTGATGGTGATGATGATGGTGATGATGATGGTGATGATGACGGTGATGATGGTGGTGATGATGGTGATGATGATGATGGTGATGATGATGATGATGATGATGATGACGGTGATGACGGTGATGATGGTGATGGTGGTGATGGTGGTGATGGTGGTGATGGTGGTGATGATGGTGATGATGACAGTGATGACTGATGATGGTGATGGTGGTGGTGAGGACTGCAAGTGTCAGATAGGTGATAGGTTTTTTTTTAAATATGAAAATTTCTAAACTTAGTGGTGATTATTACATCTATGAATACACTAAAATCAATTGTTGCACACTTTAAAAGCAAAATGAAAACCAATTGCATATATACCCACATCTGAAGGCACTTACAGTCCTGGTGTCAAATGTATTTCTCACTATAAGCTGCAGATTTTTGAACCATTAGTGGTCTAGAGAATCAAAAGGCTTTCTCAAAATGATGCTTTGGGCTGAGGTCAAAGACAGCGTTTCTAAAAGTATGGCAAGAGCTGGGCATGGAGAGAACTCTCCCCAAGAGACCAAGGGACCAGGGAGAGAGCATGCAGGGGAATTGCAGAAAAGACGTCCCCATGGAGGCACTCAGGATGTCAGGGGAGCGCCTCAAAGGGGCAAGGGTCACGAGCTGCACAGGTCTAGAGAGGGATGGAACACAGGTACTCGGGGAAGCCTCACAGGGTGGCTGCACACAGCTCTGAGTGGAACTTCAGCTATCCACCTTCTAGGAACTTGACGGCCTCACTTTCCCAAGAAAAGAAGGGACAGTGACTACCAGTAACAATAGTAGTTTACTATTGTTAACAAATAATTTCTGTGGGGTTTTTCTAATTCTAAAACATATACTATTACAGTTAATGTACACTTAGTGGTCTAGTACCCTTCTAATAAAAACTCTTATTTGTTCAGTTCTTATCTTAAATCTAAAATGACTTGTTAAGCAAAATGAAGACCAAGAAGAACAGAATCCACTGTTCTACTAGCTTAGAGACATAGGATTGAAAGACAAAATCCACTATCCCCAAATTCTTTGGACAAAAGAGCTGTGTCTTTAAACCTTGGGAATGTTATGGCAGTTTGAGGGTTGGACCTGACAGTAGGGGACCTGAAGAGAGCATTCGTGCTGTCCACACTGCAGCCTCTTTCCTGGCAAGACACAACAGACTTGTGGCTATCACAGTCCAGACCCATGGCTGGCTCAAAAGATCTATAGCTTGACCAGGAGAGCTGAAGTTATCTGAACACACCTGTGAGTAGTCCCTTAGGCCCACGGCTAGCAAAGTCCAGACCTGTGGCTAGCTAGAAGACTCAAGCCTCGCCCAGCAAACCCACAACTACCAAAGTCCAGGCCTATGGCTAACCTAATCAATTTCTAACCCAGCCATGGGACACCCTGATGCACCTGATTAAAGTTAGGAAGCTGATACAAATTTCCATTGTGATCAGCCCTGTGACCCAGCAACAGGAGAGACACCCTTGCATGTTAAAAAGTTCTTTAACCAAGAACACATTTTATAAAGTGTGGACAAGCAATGAACTTTGCAATTAAATGTTGTTGCTTAGAAATTTAAAATTAAGTTTAAGCTGTCTCTTGTTACGATAAATCTTTCCGCCAAAAGCCGCTGAGCCCCACCGCCACGTGTGCGCTTTGGGCCAGCTGCCCGCCCGAGTTAGGGCCCCAATTAATACACAGAAACTTGTATTAGGTCCAAAGCTGCTTGGCCAATGACTAGGATTCTCATCTGTTAGCTCAGTCTTAATTATCATAAATCTATATATTTTATAAGACTTATCTTACCGACACCTTATTGGCATCCCTCCTTGCTGGTGGAGCACATTGTGCTGCTGGAGCAGGAGAATGGGAAAAAGGGACCCTTCCTGTTTCTCCTTCGCTTAAATATGAGTCTCCTTGCTATGTCACTTCCTGCCTGGATCACCACTTCTCTACTACATTTCCCAGAATCCTCTTTGACTCCTACTCCCGTCTACTTGCTGTCTCATTGGCCAAACAGTATTTTATTTAACAATCAATAAGATAAACATACACAGTACATTCCCCATCATTTCCTCTTTTCTGTCTAAATAAAAGAAGGATAGCTTATCTTTTATAATAGCTGAAGAAAACTATAACCATAACTATCTGTCTTCAATTCTTATCAAAGACCACAGAAGGAAAATATATAAACTCTAGAATTGACAGGACATCTCGCTACCTGGACAGTCACCCAAAGTTCCTCTGTAAAGTTGGGGCATCCATCTTCAGCCTATAGGCCAGCGTGTCTGGCACACTTCTCCATTTCAACAGGAACCCCTCAGTACTGTCTTGTTTTGTAAGTTCAGCAGTCACTTTCTTGTGGGTCTTGCATGTGCAGTTTATACAGCAACAAACAGTCCAGGCAAGAGCACTTTCTTGCCCAAATGGCTAATCTTGCCATGTTGAAAGCAAACTCCACAACGAGTTTCTTCGATGCCCATCCTCCTTTCTGACGTAATTGCTGTGCCAGGAGCAGTTGTGTCTCACTGCCAAGAAAACCCTAAACCATTTAAATGCCATATTTCTGTAGGTCTTTGAAAGGTTTGAAGAATATCTAACCATCTCAAATACATCTCTGTATATCTAGAAAACCTAACTAACCTAATTATAAGTTCTGACTATTATAGGTAAAAGATCTGTATAAACACAATACCTAAACAAGAGGAGACATATACCTATCACAAAATTGACCTTAAATTTGTATCAGTAAATGAAAATCTATACCAATTTAAAGTATTCAATCCTATATCCTATTCCCCTTTTTTCTTTAAAAAAATTGACTATGTTCATTATCATTTATAACCTTTGATAAAACATAGAAACCTGACCAAGTCCTTGTTTTTGTAGTCTGTAAGGCTGTATCATCTCAGCTTCAGGGGGTCTTGCTTGATCAAATCATATTAGTCTGGAAGGAATCCACAGCTTTTCATTTTCTGTGGAAATACAAGAAAAACTTTTATTTCTAAGTAGCCTGTCCTTAAACTTAAATTTTGAAGTTAGAGCATTTTTAAAATGTATAAGTTTGATTAATTTAGCAGCATTTATAATCAAATGTATTTTAGCAGCAGTAAGTCTTTCCTTGGCAATCAAACAATTTAAAGACAACAATATGGCATATAGTATCCAGATTCTCTGTGTATTTTCCATCTTTATGTGGATTTTTTATTACTTAATTTTTATTTTCTTTTGTTTTTTTTTCCCATGAGACAGGGTTTCTCTGTGGAAATCTGCCTGCCTCTGCTTCCTTCTTTCACAAGCCAACATATATTTTTAAATGTAGCATAAACCTTTAGAGGTTTTTCTTTATCTGGATCTGTCTTTATCATCTCGGTAGTGCCGAGTCCAATGCCCAAGAGCACCGGGATGGTGTGAGCATATGGAAACTGCTCCGATGCCTCTCGGTGGCCCGACAGGGCAGGGTGTGGTGGCAGGTTTCCCTCTTTCTCTGGAAACCTTGGGGCACGGAGTCATCCCGCTACTGACACCATTCTCTCCCACAGCAAACACGTTCTCTCTCTTTTTTGTTTAATGGTTGTTCATTAAATGTAAGTCTTCCTAAAAACGCTGGTGCAGGGTTCATGAAGATCACTACACAGGGCTGGTCCCTGTAAGGGGTCACATGATGCGACTAGCCTGGAGACTGTATTATCCAACCCTTTGGTCACTTGAGATTCCTAAGAAACATATCCTACCCTTCCCTAAAGCCTGGCCAAGGAACACCCACTCAGTGAGTACAGCTCGGTTAGTCCCAGCTGTAAGAAGCCTTTGCAGCTCCGTGACCTATTTTTGCAGATAGACCTCAATAGCACTCACACTGCCCCTGCTTGGGGAATCTCACCTATGACCTTGTAGCACACCCAAGTGTACCAATCCTTCGGAAGGAGCTTTGTCTTTTACCTGAGGAGACAGGTAAATAAAAAGGGCATTTTATTGACTCACTGTTCTTATACGTCCTCATTCTTAAGCCAAGAGACAGAGAAAACCCTTCCAGAATAGATATCCATTCTACCGAAACTCACAGCATTTGGGTTGAAACCATTCTTTCTATGTAAGCTGAGAAATCCAACAAAACAGGAGCATATGTTGAAGATACATGGTCCAGTTTCTAACCAAACCAAACTCCTCACTGGGACATCAGTTCAGGCTAATATTTTTTTCTAAGAAATGGGCCGAGTCAGTAGATTATGATTTATAGGAAATTTCACCCTTAGAAGTAGCGATGAAAATGACTCATGAACAATCTGCAATTAAGAAGCACGGCAGATGACAGAGATGGCAAAATCATGTCCTTTGATATTGGAAAGTAACTACACTTGAAAATAACTTTATAATTGAATAAGGCCACATTAGGAAAATATGATTCGGAACCAATATTATAGTAATTACATAAAGGAAGCATAAATGAAATAACTGCAGGAAGAATATTTCCGTTGAGATTATAAATGAGATTCTGGTGGAGCAGAAAGGCCTCTAATTGTAATTTAGTGTGCACCATAGCATTATCAGCTCAGTGTGTTACTTCATCATATAAAAGAATATCTGCTAATTTTCACTAATAAGCACATGACAGCTCTTCAGACTCTTTCATTACAGCTGATTAACTGTAAAAACAGTAGATATTCCTTTGTTGGAAAAAAAAAGAAAAAGTTCATATCCTTTCTGGAAGACAGTAGAAAACAGTTGCGTGTCTCTGGCACGTGATCCCAAACTATTATTGAGGAAGTCTGGGGAATTTTAAGTGGCACTTAAAAGAAGGCCTGGCTTCAGTTCCTCTAGTCCTCCGCTTTGTCTTCCTCCCACCTGCCCCGGCCCCACAGCACCCCCCCCCCCCCC